GTTGCCTTTAGGTCTCTTAACTGGCTCCTAGCCAAGTTTGCTTGTCAAGTAGCCTTTCTTCTCCTCTTGTGCAATATGTTTATGTTGGTTGCTAAGCAGATTGCTTCCTAGTTGCATGTTTAACAAGAATGAAAATGGTAATACATAGTTAGGAGGTGCTGGATATCAGCATGATATTTTTGAGTTAGGAAACAGTAAATAAGGGACTAAAATAATGATAGCTACTGCTTCCTGGGATGGATTTTTTATGCATGAAATCCTTATGATTCTGATATTTACTGTATTTCATGTTATGTCTTTACTTTCATTAATGGCTGAAAATGTTTGCACAGGCAGCAAAAAATTTCAGCTGAGGAAATGTAAGTAATGGACTAGAATATTTATTTTGAAATAGATGTTTTTGAAAGCTTTATTTCCCTCGAGTATCTTTTCTTCAAAATCCTATTGGCTCTAGCACAGTTATACTTAACCTCACTGTGTAAACCTTTCTTTATGAAAGTCTTTATGTATATATTGCTCTATTGAGGAGTTATCCTGTTCTCTGAGAAAAGTGAAGCCTCATCATATCATTTCACACTAATGCCATTTCAGTCTAAAAATATGATTATGCTGATTACAACTTCCTAGACTATGGAGCTTTTATTAGATGTATATCCTGAAGCAAGAGAAGATCAGTCAGTCAGAAACGTCTCAGGTTAATCTCACTCTTGAAGTTGGTTTAAGGTTCTATCTGAGAAAGAACTACAGGACTTTAAAAGGAAGATCACAGAGTCTGAGTATTGAAGAGTATTATGTCAGATGCTGGATTGGTTAACATACTATCTTTGTCCAGTAGCTCTTCCATTGTTACTGGTGTCAATGATTCCTTATTTATCCTGTTTCCCCCTCCCACCCCCTTTCAATGTCCCCAAGCTCTATTTGGGGGTATATAGTTCATATTTGATAACATACTTTTTCTCTTACTTCCTTTCTTATTTTATTGGTGCCTAAAACTTTTCTTTTATGCTACAAGTCAGCTAGCTCAGGAACTTTTTTTCAGCACGCTAGGAGCCTCAGCCTAACCAATACACAGTAACTACCACAAGTCATGTAAAATCACCAAAGTAGTTTGGGGGAATATTTTTAAAAAAGAATAGCTTATCACTAAATGCTGTGGACCCCAGCAAGACTGCTTGTTTATGGGAGCTGATAGTAGCATGGACATCCCTGAAGGACGCTTGTGAGGAGGTATGTGAGATACACTGAATTCAGAGCCATGCGTTTTGTCCCACTCCATGAATCTCACTTCCACAAAAGGACACTCTTAAGGCAGGCTGAGCCAAAACACAGTTTGCTCCTTACTTCCTTTAGGGTGATAGTATCTCTTGGGAAGTTCCCGGCATGCAGCTTTCTTCCGCTCCTCAGTATAGTAGCTGAGGGCCTTTCTATGTACTCCATACGTCTTTCCTCCATGCAAGGACAGGCGTTGCCACCCGGTAGAGCTTCTACCATACGAACAGCAGCACACAACTTGCATAATTTCACCTGTAATATGGTTAATAATGAACATCCAAAGGCTACCTCCAGTTTCCTGCAGGGAGGATTTCTCATTCCTACTTAGACTATAGTGTATCCAGCTGAAGCAGGAACATGCACTTTATACAACTGAAATCTATTCACCAGTGACTAAAGTGTTGTCTTTGGACTGTGAAAGCAGGGCAAGGCCTCAGTACTTTTTCTGGCACTTGTTACCTCTTCCAGCAGGACTGTCTGTAACTTCCTACTCCACTGTAGTTAGGCATGTCCTAATGTGTGGCAGCCTGTGTGTGGCCCCAACAAGGGTGACTTCTCTGGTGGTCTTATTGTTCCTCTTTGGCTAAATCAGCCAATCTTGGCACTACAGGTAACCCTTGCAAGACATCTATGTTTGATATCCCCATAGAAAGAGGCTGTAGTATGTTGATATGACCCACAGACATTTTGGTAGGTAAGAGATATTGCGGACCAGCCATGAGGAGCCAGCCCTGCTCTCTTCAGGGAAGAGTCTGGTATGCTCACACAGTCTGTCTTCTGTCTTCCCCTGTGAATCTCCATCCCCAAAACCTGCATCACTGCTGTTGGCCAGATTCAACTGAATTTAACAGAACCAAGAAATGTCAGACATAGTACACTGTTACAAGTGTTGAGGAATTTACCTCAACTATGAAGTGTTATCCTGCTGATGCTCTAACTGAGGGAAATCCTGCAAAATAAGCTTATCATCTTTATTATCAGAGTATCCTCGTGGGAGAGAGGCAACGTAAGTGTCCCAACCAGCAGAAATCTTCACTAAAAACACTAGCCTGCTTAGATGCCAGCAGGTCCAGCCAGAAAACACAGGGCACCACATTTCATTGGCTCCATTGCTGATCAGACTTTGTTTCACATGCGTTTGGAATAGCCTAATTGCCACCAGTTAGCTAATGCTTTACTCTCTACAACCTTGTTCCTTCTACACATTTTAGAAAGGGGAAAAAAGGGGAGGTCTCTTAAATTGTTTACATTCTTAGTTTTACATTACTTACCTGAAGTAAACTGACTACAGATACTGGAAGGAGAGAAAAATAAGTATTAAAACTCACTCAGAAAAACTATTTCTTCAATCACCTTCCCTTATCACACTCTGAGAAACTGGTAGACAATGTTGTCATCAGTGCTAATGTTTTTTTTTCCCCCCCAAAAAGATGCTGGGTAATCAGTCAGTATAAGTAGTTAAAATGAACAGTTTTGCCTACTAAGCTTTGCCTTGTGCTTACCTTCATTATCATTTATCTACCATCATGTTGTCCGATCACTCACTTTGATTAGATCCTCCTGGAATTCCTCTCCATTCTCAGGCATTTTCCCTAACCTGAGTAATTCTGAATCCTCAGCAAATTCACCACCTTGCATTCCACTTCCTCCTCAAGATTATAACTAAAGTTGCTAAGTTGCATGGGTACTGAGAGCACCTACACATATTCAGCTTGACAGAAAACCTATTTAGTCTTCCTTATCATTTCTTTTCTCTTTTTAGAAACTCTTGCATTTCCCCATACAGTTACAAACCTTTATTAATGTCCTCCCATGAGTGTTTTTCCCAGTAGATTTGGATGAATACAGATAAATCTGTTGCTTAATAACTTTTCCTCCTTGTACAGTTCTGCCAGATTTTTTGCAGCAAATGTATTCTGAGAGAAATTTCACTGCTATTTCTCTGTTTATTTTTAACTAAGTTACTTATATTTCTTCAATGATCCTTTTTATGTTCAGATGACTGTTTCTGTTTTATAATACACAGAAAAAGGATATTCCAAAATAGAAAACATATTCGTATATGTACCTTGCAAGAAAAATATTAAAAAGTCAAAAACACAGTGCGACAGTCCTCACCATCATTTCTGTAAATGAACAGGCCATAGCCAGGCGTTGTTTGCAGCCTCATTGGCAGAAGTCCTAGATACTCTCACTTACAAAACTGTCTTTGTGGCTTTGTTAAGAGCATTTCCAGTTTGTCACTTAGCATTTATTTAATTGTTTTCTTTATGTAGTGATTAATGGATATTAGTAGAGTGTAAATTTTGCTTATGTGCTGTAGAGGGAAACTGGGGCAAAGCTGTCTGAGAATATGTAGCAGTGGCTGGGTATGATTTTCTCTCCACATATGCAGTTATTTTAGAAGTTGTACAGTAGATTACAATTAGAAAGTTAAATTATTTCCCTCCTTCTATAGTGATAATCTTCATTTTAGGTGGAAGGGCTGTGGGAGCATGGATGGATGGGCTAATTGCCAGCTGCATAAAAAGATGGATTGGTAGAGGTGTTTTTGTCTTGTGCTGACTTTCGAGCTGTTTTTACTGCCTATTCTGCTGCTGGTGCATTTTCATTCTCTCAAGAAAGGCAACCAAGGCACATTTTGGGTCTCCAACATAAAAAAGAAATTCAGTCTCAGTACCCTAATGATGGGGCTCTTATAGCGGCAGATCACCAATTGTACCACAGCAGAAAGAAACTTTCAGAGAGGCTAGAATACAAAAAGTCATGTTAGGACAAGTTTCTGCGTTGTGTAAGTTCTGTGGACCTCAGCTGCTAGAAATGAACCATTAGTGAACTGAGCCGCCCTGCTACCTGGAGTGTGTGTTGTTTTTGAGTCAAGTGTTCAGCCAGAAGGAAGCATCCTATCCCTTGGCAATCTTTTGTCACAACAGAGAAAAATGAGTTCACAGGAAATATTGCCTCACAATCCCTGTTTGGCCTCGCTCAAAAGCTATAACGGTACAAACACTCAAGATGGTTCAGACCTCTTGTTCAGTAGCTTTTTGCTGTAACATTGGCAAGTGAGCACCATAATATAATGTTTCCATCTGTATGTGCAGTTCCTCAAGGAAATTGCCCCTTGAAATGTGCTTACTAGGCTATTTGTGAGATTTAGTCACAAATGATTCCATGCTGATTTGGGAATATGTTGCTTCAGAGCTGTTGATAATCAGAGCTGCTCAAACAGCTATTGTTTAAATGTAATTGCAGGTAATATCTTAATAATCAAGAAAAAAAATCACCATTTGAAATGTTCACTTACCTGCTTTCCTTGTAGGCTGAGGATTTTGCACCTGCAAAAGAAAAAGGAGCCAGCAAATATATCTGTAATGGTCTGTCTAAAATACTAAACAAAGGAGGAGTTTGCGTTTGTTGATCAAAGCTTATTTGTAATATTTGAATGTGGAAGGGCTCACATTTTTCTTCCAAAAAAAGCTATATCATATTTTGGCTTAGTGCTGATGGCCTGCTTTTCTTTGTGTTGTGCTGCCTGGGGCAGACTGCAATGGAGTTTTGACATTCCTCTGATGTCTTCCTTGATTAAAAGTGGTTTTACATTTCTGACCTGAGGAGAAAGTTCTAATTGATGATGATAGATTATGGCTTCTCTTGGAATGGTTTATTAGTGCTGTTCGGATTTATTTAATTTACTTAATTTGTAACATTTCTCTCTGTTTCCATACCAGGTACTGGATGCACCTTAGAAATCGCAGTAACTAAGTAAACAAATTTAAACACTTACCAAGCCATGTTTGTAATGCCAATAAGATCAAGCTGTTGAAAAACGAATGGTAGACGTATACTGAACTCCATGCTAGACTGTTACCGTACCTGAGAAGGCTGTGCTTTGTAAATACTGTTTTATGTTAGGATTTCTGATTGTAACACTAAGGCACATCTTGTTTTTGCATTGCTCAGCTATTAATCTGAGCGGAAGTCTAGTGTTGCTTTTCGCAAAGAGCTGCTCTCAGCTTCCAAGTGACTGTTATGATAAAAAAGCTTCCCAGTAACTTCTTCAGCATACTTGCAAATAGAAATGACAGAAATAGAATATTTTCCCGTGAGTCTGTTCTGTAATGTATGTCTTGGAACAACAGTGTCAGGGTCTACCTATATAGTACCATCTGAAAGTTGATCTATTGTTCAGAGCTCTTCAGCTTCTGAATTTTCACTGTTGTCTCTGGCACATGCCCCATTTGTACCTAAGCCTTGGCCTTTCTGGGACACCTGGTGATTTCTTTATTTTTTATTCTTAGATTGTCCTTCCTCCCCTGCATGTTCCTTCTTATCAATCCCCATCGTTACTCTGTTTTATTGGTCTTCTGACTCATTGTGATTCTGTGAGCTGTAGACTTCCGTTTGGGAGCTATGCTCAGAACAGCTTTTTCAAAACCGAGTGGTGCATGTGCATTCATATGACTACAGAAATTGCAGAGAAAAGAGGTAAAATAACAAAAGGCCTCTTAGCCTTACCTGACAATTTAGGTGGTCCGGCTTAACTCAAGCATTCCCCTGGGCTGAACCTCCACAGACTCTCTGTATGTTGTGTCCCCGAGTTTCAAGGATCACGTCTTTTGAAGCCAGGCAGGCACAAGGGTCTTCCATGGCCAGAGGCTGGGACAAAATACGTTTGGTAAGCACTGCATAAGTGTGGGGAGAGAACAATGCAGACGCAGTGTCCTCCCATCTTCTGAGCTCTCACTGCAGTTAGAGCTCTCATCATGTCACGCTAACCAGACAAATGGGGACACACGTGATACCTATAAGTATTTAAAAAAAAAAAAAGCAAACAGGTATCTCTGACGTCTCCGTGCTTAGGAGCTGTAAATCTTCTTGGAAATCTTTTTTTTAAATGTCATCAGGCTCACACTCTACCCATAATAATCTGAAGGTGGGGATTCTTCAGTTTCCTTAATGTCTTGTGAGGTGAGATCTGAAAGCAACTAATTAGCATTCTGCCTTCATTTTTTAAAATCTATTCATAAATAGAAATAAAGAAGTTCTGAAAGGTATCTACCACTGATTTTCTCTTGCTGTCTGAAAATTCCCATTGTCTGTACATGTATGCTTTGTGTACTCACTTGCAGGAGCAATTCTACTGTAATAGTTTTAATTTTTCTTGGTATTGTAGAATTCTATCTGATGATTCTGTACCTTGCATACTCTCAGTTGTAAGTCAACCTTATTATAAGTCACCTGATACTCTGTGTGCTCAACTGTAAACTTCAATACGAAAGTATAATCAGACTCTCTTCAGAAATGCTCATAGTCAAATTCTCAGTGAAGCAATATATAGTACAAAGAACTCTTTCCTTCCTGGCATTAACTGTTGAAGGAAAATTAAAAGAGGTTTAATTACCTTGTAGTTGTCATAGTGGGGAACCATGGGAAACTTTGTAATCTTAATTTGAACAATATATATTGTCTGGTTTATCTAAATAGACAGTAGTACACCCACTATTGGAAGTGAATGGGGTAACTTTCCTACTGAGAGAAGGGAGGCAAAACATACTGTATAGTTTGTATATGGATTGGTCCAGTTAGGATATTAAGACCTGGTTAAAGCTGTCTTCGTAAAGATGGAGCAGTCTGAGGTCCTAGAAGCCCTAATGCCTGCACATTACTTTTGAAGACCAGAAACTGAAGAGTTCTCAAATCGGCCAAGCAATCAAAGATTGTTTTTCGAGATGTTCGGTATGGTTTATGTTGTTCAAGATGATTAAAAAAGATACAGAGAAACAAAACGGAGTCCATGCTGCATTCTTTTCTCCCACTTCTGAAGGACTTCCTCTTAAATACAGTTTGCTAACACTGAAGAACTCTGTGTGTTGTATTTCAGCTTACTAATAAGTAACGTGTTGTTTTTGAAAGGCTACCATGTCCACTGCAGTTATTTTCATTTACATTATTTTTCTTAAGGGACTAACTTCCCAAAATATGTTAGGGTTCTTCTGGGCTCCCTGTAGTGATTGTAAGAAGTCACAGGAGTGCTGTAACTGATTGGCTTAATTTCAGAGTTGAAAGAATTGTGCAGCTCAGTTGGGCAGAGCTATGCTGATAGCTAGCTGTAAAAGGTTACTTAGTCCACATACAGGTCAAAATATTAAGTAGAACACTGGAAATCTTTGACATATGTTCTCCCCCATCCTTCCAGTCCATCCCACATTACTGTACAGAGAATGTAATTAGGAAAATCCAAAGATGAGTCCGTGGTGATGAGCCAGGTCTGAAGTCAAAGCAGGAACGTGAGGTTTAGATTTTCCTACAAAACCTAAAAGAGATTTCAGGTCTCCTGATTTCTCTGGTTTCCTGCATGCTTGGTTGTCTGATTTCCAAAGGAAGTTTTCTCCTCACACAACTCTTCTGCTCAGAAAGATTTTGGTTGCTTTTGTAAGCAGCAGTGTCTTAGGAGCTGAATGTTTCTCAGTCAGGACTCTTTGTCAGCTTCATGTACAGGCCATAACTGTGTTTTTAGTCTGCCATTATAGACTTCATTTTCCCTTGAAACCATAATGAATGTTTTTGTCTGTTTGTTTATTTTTACTAAATATCCTGGGACGTGATACACTAATTGACATTCATGACAGTGAGCATCAGTAGCTCCTCAGAGGAGATCTGCAAGGACAAGCACAGAAGTATTCTTTCCTGGGCATATTCCCTAGCTTCCAGCAATTGCTAATTTAGGGACTTCTTGTGCCAAAGGTTATATCTAGTCCACTGTGCTGCATAGTCATTTATGGATCCGTTTTCCATGAATTTGTCTACTCCTTTTTGAATTCACTTATTCCTTGGCCTCCTCTATATCTTGTATGAGTGAGCTCCAGCCTTTCATTTGGCACTTTGTGGAAAGGCACCTCATAAATATACCCTGCTCCATCTGATCCATGAGAACTATATTGCCAGAAAATTACCAAAAAGTTGGGAGGGCGTCCAAAGAAAAGGACAGAAAAAATCAAGGTCAGGAAATGTAAGTTTACGGTATATTGGATGTTCTAAATATTTGTAGTTGGGCTTCATTGAAACAAAACCAAAGGACATGAGGACAGTAATCACTCTTCACAGGTATGCAAAAAAAGACAGAAATATTGTATCAAGACAGTGCAAGGACATATAAAACTATTCACTGGGATGTAAGCAAGAGTATAGAAAGGAAATTAAAGGTGGTAGGCAGAGAAGATAAAATATCCGAGAGTGAGACATGTAATGCTGCATAGGAGGTGGTGAAAGTCTATAATTCAGAACATTTTTTTAAATGGCTTAGCTGAAGTTTTCTGGCTGTTATTCTAAGAAGGAGTCCTTGACTGACTGTACCTCTAATCATTTGTTCCTTTGTTAGAATTCTGGACAATGGTGACTCTTCTGATTTCTTGTCAGATATCTCAGAACTTTTTTTAGACTTGATGCCCTGTGAGAAGGATCCTCATGAAATATTGCTGGGGCTTAAAAAATGTTTCAGCTGTGTACAGTCCCTATTAGTTTCCAGAGTCAGTAGCTAATAGAAGCTAACTGAAGGCAGAAATAATTCTTATATCTGCTATTTGAGAACATCTGTGAATAGATATTTTTATCTCTTCTTCTCCCAGTAACATTAAATTTAGTAACATAATTTCTTGTATTTTGTTATATGTATAAATTCCAAAGATAAGGCAGTGACAATAGAAAGTTTCATTTAGTTCAGTCAGCCTACAGATGTGTGGATGAGCCCTTTTCATAAGTTTCAGATTGGTATAAAGAGATACTGCAAGTGGTCCAAGTTGACAGTTATGTAGCAGGGTCATTGAGTAAAGCTAATTAACACCAATTACTATTATTTTTGCTCTTAAGTCTCAGAGGAAGGCATTGGTGCATGACTGAGCATTATCATCGCCCTGTATAACTCTGTCTTAATAAAAGAGGCAGTCTGGTGGTAACGTGCGGACAGCACAATTATTATATCTTCATTTTAACCCTTCCTTTTTTCCCTTTTTCATCGTCAGCATCAGTATTAGCTAACTTGAAACCTGCTCTTTGCATCTGACCAACAATCAAATAGATACCCTAGTCTTCTTCCTGCTGGTATTCAATGACACTTCTTGCGAAAAGCTGGGAATACTGAGGTGCGCTGGGTAGCAGTTAGCCTGCAAAACAAGACGTCTGGTGGCCTGTTTTGTGGTGAGGGAAAAATAAATTTTCTGTGCTCCAGTTTGTCATCGATAAAATAGGATTAGTGGTGTCGTTTTGCTTTAATGAAAACACTTTCAGTGAAAAGACATTATTGTTTTGATGGGAAGGTCTAGTACTGCGACTGCACAGAAAGAAGGGGAAGGATTCTTCACTTATTCTCACAATATTGTCCAGGGAAACTGTTCTCACTGCTTACACTAGCCTCTGATTGAATAACTGTTGTGTTCCTTTGTGGCTAAAAATCTCTCACACCTCACTGAAGTTCTACTGTTGTGGAGATAACCACTGCCCTAAGTGCTGAGTTTTCCCATCTTCAGTTCCAGCCTCTTATCTAAAGCAAAAACCCAAGAGTTGGAGCTACATAGTTCAAAGTCCGAGTAAAGAAATTAAAATGCACTGATTACATTGGCTGATGATGTCCTGCAAGTGAAAGCTGAAGATCAAGTGTCTGTGATGCCCATTTCACACCTTTTTGCCTTTTACATCAGTTGAGGCTGTTGATGCAGGAAATTTTACTGGCACAGCTGTAAACTGTAGTGGAAATGCATGGAGACTGTTTCAAGAGGTTCTTCTCTTCCCTGCTAGAGA